AAAAGAAGAACCCGAAAGAACTAAAACTATCCGCGCATTGAATGAAACTGAGTGTTAAAGGAATAGATCGATTAGGTGTCTCTTGAACATCAAATTCAAGTGGCGCTTGCAGAAACTCATCCACTGCAGTCGCGACGTCGCGACCACGACCAGTAGCGAGGGGCACCGGACGATTCGGTGCCATACACCCAGATGGACGAGGTAGTCTGAGACGTAATATCGACTACAATAGTCATAGAGAACCATCCAAGCAAAAGAGCGTAATGTAGCCAAAAAAACTGCAGTGGATCTGAATGCCTCGACAGATCAAGGGGAATTTGATCACGCGCGACATGCGGCGTCTTTGTCTTGGAATGTGCACTTAATCGTATAACTTCGTATAATGTATGCTATACGAAGTTATTACGAGTGACCTAATAACTGCAGGTTCTGCCGTTCTTCAGGTGCCAATCGATACTGATTTTTCAGAGTGGCGCCGTTCTCCGATTCGCTCAAAACGTTTCATCGGACCAGCCCAACGCTTAGAAGATCTCATTGCTCCTTTGTCTCTCACGTTTGCTGATACACAAGAGGATTGCTAGAAAATAAAACGTCCTTGTGCTTCAGCTACGCGTAAAAGTAAAAGGGTGGCGAGTCATCATTTCTTCACCATTTCCTGTAAGTATTTGGCAATCGTAGGAAAGAGGCAGGTGATAGCCATAGCGGGCTTGTGGGCAAAGCTGCATATTGTAGCGTCTTGCAAATAGATATGTCCACTATTTTTGCCGACTCGACCTATTCAATTTTTTATTTAATCTAGATGTCACGTGTAACAGTTAGGCCGGTTAGGCTGCGTACTTTGGCCTTGTGAAAAAATGGTGGCCAATGTGGCGGGCGAGTTTCGGGCCACTCAATTTGGAACTGTACTGCGCTGGCGAACCCACTCCAACACCGGCATGTAATCCTTCCCCGAGAGGCAGACCGTTTCATTGGTATCACATTCTTGAAGAGCACTGAGCACAAATAAATTAATTCGCGCCATAAGGTCAGTCTCGGACTGATTTTGCACGGCTCCAAAAATAAAAGAATTTAGTGCTAAAAATATCAGAAGCTAGTACGGTATTAACCGTGTTACCTTGTGCAGTAATCAGTTTTCACATCAAGGCGGCCACTGATTTTTACAGTTGCATGGCCCATGAATGAGAGCCTAGAAGCCGAGATATTCATATTTTTAGGGGGTGTCCTTTGATTTTGCACGGCACTGTAGTGTGCAGACTGCGAAGACCTTCTAGCTCTTACATAGCAGACGCAGGTAAAAGAAAGTCTTCTCTGCCATAGCTCTCATGCAGCTGCAGTTGAGATTTCCTTCTATAAACTTTTATTAGTGTTTGCGTAAAACTATTTAGAAGGACACTCGCTGAAATCACCTTCGTGATAAAATTAGCCGTGCGGGGTACCGTACCAAAGTTGCTCACTGCATTCGTAACCTTCCCCTGGCTCCACACTTCATCAACAGCTCGATCTGCTATGGTAGGTACTACGGTCAGAGTCAACCGTGCGTTGCGCAGTTCTCAACGGCACGTTGAGAGATCCTCAACGCACGCTGTATGGGCGGAGAGCACAGACGGCTCGAGCATGCGAGTGTGAATGTTCTAATCGGGCGAAACTGCGCAACGTGGTCGTTGAGAACTGCGCAACGCACGGTTGACTCTGACTACGGTACTTATGGTTAGAAGCTGCTGCTAGGTTGCTGATGCATCTGACAAATCATCTTCAAAGGAGAAAAGTTCGTCATTTATTGAGGTGACCTCGATGTTCAACTATCACAAAAATAAAGAGTGACTGTCTCTTCCAATATTGCGTGAAAATAGAGCGTCCGGGGTTAAACATCCCCAAAATATGTGCAAAGAGACAGCGATGCAGCAAGGTGCATTAGTGGCGACACCCACAAATGTTATAAAAATGCTCTATTGGCTGAACAAATGAATCGGGAGGCAGCTGACCAAATCGATCTCGCCACATTTTGCGCAGTACTTATGTGAAGCATAATTACCCACAGCAGAAAAAGTACATTTTATTGATGTTTGTTCTCCTATAAGCCTTCTGATTACGCTTTTTCCTCGCCTCTAATAAGAAATGGCTTCCAATGTAGGAAAGGAGATCGTCTATACCGTTACGAGAGGCAGCTACGAGCAGTAGACGAGCGCTGAAATACACAATTAGTCTGGGATTTGAAGCAAGAACTAACGCTAAAGTCGCATCTCTGCGGGCAACTTCGTCAAGGTTTCGGTGAGTGTAAAGGAGCATAGAGCTTAGAAGACGATATGCGATTACTGTGTTCGAAGGTGAGCTAAACGTCGAAGTAAGGCCTCAGTTCAGTGAGCCCCATTTCTCCTGATGACCCTCCTCTGCTCGTTGCTCGTTCTCTATAGTCCCCTCGTCGTCAGAGTCTGTTGCTCGCTCATGCCTTCTGTTAAACACGTTGACGACGAGCGTATTTTTCCTTGTCGCGCGCATGGGACGAGGCGTTTTTTGCATGCAGAGCGCCGGTAATTACAAGGCAAAATTTATTTTGTAGCTCGCCAAATCTTGAAATATAGAAAATGCTTTTGACTAGAAAGCTCCAGACACATTTACAAGCAAAGGAAAGTTGTCAGTACTGAATGTTTCATGAAATTTCAGTGACATTGCCTGACATCATCAAAACTTGGTAGGAGATTGATAGAAAAGGAGGAATTCCACGCAATTCTTTCTTTTTGTTATTAGAATGAGTTTTCCTTTCTATGGAATTGGTATTTTACTCGCATCTAGTATCTCCTAGATGCAAAAAAAAATCTGCTGCCCAACGAAATGACGCCTCTGTTTGACTGTTAGTTTGCTTTTCATGATCAGATAAGGCGGCAGAATTGATTCAAACGACTCAATTCAAGATCAGAAAAATCGCTAGAGAAAGAATCCGGACACCGAGGGGCTAAATGGGTACTTTTGCGCTTGACTACGAGTGAAAACGTGCCTACTTGACCATCCAAGCCACATCAGTTTCGAAAGGCTGGAAATGGGGTTCTACAGACGGTGACATCATGATGAAAGGTCGATATGAACATCTTTGATGACATTTTCACACTTCTGATAGTAGAGCCTTCGTGGCTGTAATTCAATTGGCAGCGCATTTTTGCAGTTGACAAAGAATACGAGAAAAGAGTTCCTGCAATTAGAAAGATCACGGGTCGCAGCTGAGTATGGTATCTTAGGACCCTAAAGTAACTATCGAAATAGGAAACTCGCAGGTATCATTTAAGTTTCCTTGTCTCCAAGCTGTCGGTCACCATTGACCGACATCGTCCCATGGGACAGACTGCCTGTCGGCCACCATTGACCGACATCGTCGTCAACGTGTTAAAGGTTACGAGGAGGCCTGGCACTGACCCTATTAACAGCCTAAAATAAGGGCAATTTCAGACGTTATTCGGGTATTCTCGATTCCTTTATTTGCATGTACTCTACACCACTTCAATCTTGATGACATTTAGCCGCGACCAGATATATACATAATCGTCGTCGCTTGTGGTGTCTGCTCGCAGCCCGGATGATCGGCCGTCCACTGATGCACTTCACACTAATAAAGGCTTTTGGTTAAAATGTTGGATTTTTCGTCGTCTTTATTTTTGTACCGGGTCAAGTCTGTATCGCTGACTCTCGACAACTGTCCTGTTTCTGGATCAACACGCTCGCTGACTTTTAACCTTCTTGTCACTAGTCACTGTGAGTGTTGAGCCAAAGACAATCTACTTTTCTGCGTTCTGATCGACGATATTTCAATTTATTTTATCAGTTATATCAATTTATTCTCGATAATATCAATTTTCAATTTATTTAATTTATTTATTTTTGTCATAGTTTGCGAATCGCTCGATCCGGTCTAAGCGTCTTCATCGATTGAAAATCGAATGCATGGCGTACTCGGACGAAATTGATAATGTCTGTGAAAATTCTTCAACAAAAGATACTATGGAGGGCGTAGAAAATGTTTACCATTCCACTACTTTACATGCTGTTAGTTAGTTCTTCTTTTCGGCGAAAAATGTTTCTGATGAAGTTTTGTTGGCATGAATCCAGAAAAATTTCTAGGACTCCACTCCAACCTTCAGAGAATAATCTAGAGCATTTTCTGAAAGAATCTTGTACTCTATGGAAATCTTATCAGTGCGAAAACTAGGGCTACTGTCCTGACTTGGAACCTTATCATTGCGCTTATCAGTCTGTGCGTGGCTGACAAAGTCATGTCACAATAAGGTCTTGCCATAACTCACCCCAACAAGTCAAATCAAGTAAATGATGATGGCCCATAATTTGTCCTAACAAGTAAATCCAGTCCAACACTTCTCAGCAAATAGTCGTAGAATACTCATGTCCCTCGTGATTCTGGACTTCTCTTTACTTTCGCCTAACAATCAAAGTTTGAAATGGCATTTGTCGCACTTTTTGTTTACAGTCTTTATTAATCACCAGTATGTTTAAAACTTTCGGTAGGATCAGTGATTCTTAGTTTTTCGTCTCAATCTCTTCTCATTGCACTGTACAGCTGTTTTTCTGTGAACACGACACACACCGCCGAAATGACGGCAATTTCTCATTTAAGTCACCATTACTGAAGCTGCCTGGTTTATTATTTACGATTGCTTGCCTACAGGAATGGTCATCATTTCTACCTCAAAGGTTTTTTTTGATAGTGTGTGTATTCGTTTTTTTTATTTTTTACCCACTTTAGCCTAGGGGAAAGGGCTTTTTTCACCTTTTGGGTATCTGTGGAATCAGCTGAGTTGGAACAGCTGCGTGTTTAAGAATGTTATTCATTTAGAGCATGTGACGCCCTTCCTTTGGTTTGATGCTCTTCTAATAAGGAGATTTGCAGAGGTGAGCGCTATACAGAAGTCTGCAATGATTCCTGAAATGAAATGAAATGGGCTTCTTTACATTCTGTAAGAGAGTTCTATGTTTTAGCATATTATCAGTCTTTTACGATGCAGTATCTGGAGGATATCATAGAATGTGAGTTTCCATGTTCTGAAATTGAAATAGGCTCTATACAAGTTGGGTGGGCACGCCCAGCTTTTCCACGCATGTCAAGTGACTGCCCTCACTCCCCTCACTCCCCTAGATGGTCAGCTACACTCCCCCTGGCTCACGAATTCCCTCGAGATTCTCGTTACAGTATAGTAGCGGGCAGCAGTCCCACTTTCATACATTTCTGTTCCAAAATACGGCGTGCCCACCCCACTTGCATAGCACCTTAATCTGGTACAAGCTTTTCTATTCGTAACGTTCACATCAAGAACAGCTGCAGTGTTTTCATATTGGCGATTTGATTAAAGGCAAGTTTGCTTCACAATGTCTGTCAATCGATCACGATGTGCTCATTCTCTAGCAATATTGATAGAAAAACTCCAAGAATTCAGAATGATTTTTGGTTTTTTGTACTTACTGGACTCTTGTTTATACAGTATTATGGGTGAAAACTTGTAGTATATCTGTTGAAGTGCGACTAAACGGTAAGCGTCATAAAATGAAGCAAAACAGTGTTGCTTTTTGCAGCTCCAGCCGAAGTACAAACAATTGTTAGATTATTATGGGTCGTTCGACTGCTTATTGAATGTCAACATTGTAACATAGCATTAGTGTGAAAACGTTACCGGTGTTTCGCATTAATAAGATAGGTGGAAGAAGATAATGCAGGTTTTATGGATGGGGTAACCTTGCATTTATAGATTTTATAGATTCATCAAGTACAGTCAATTAGCTCTCGAAGCAGTACGGCGAATTGTGTAAGGCCCAAAAGCTGTGTCATACTTTGCTTTCGGTTTGCAGTCTCGATTGTGGAGCAGATACGTATTGACTTGAAGATTCTGCGACTGCATGTGTGACAAATACGTATCTACTCCAGAAACAATGCTATTTACCATACATTGGCTCTAAGGTCACCATTTCCTTAAGCAGTTACGCTTGTGGGATCGCTTATAAAGTCCTGCCGCTCTTTTTTTCAAAATCTTTCCTCTCTATTATCAGCGCTGTGTTTTCTAGAATTCGAATTTTTTGACGGCTATTCGCTTCCAAGTCTACCGCAAAAGTTTAAAAGCAGCGAGAGAGCGTTGAACCCACAAAAGGTGTTGGATTGTCATGCGCCTTCAGCTTATAGACATCCGCACACCCAAACAAATTGCAACCCTCATTTTCATGCGGGGAAACAAAAACAATAATACGCGAGAATATATATCCAAATAGAGCAGGTAAAACTCTGAATCATATATGTACGTACGAACTATGGAGGGCACTAGACAGCAAGCCTAGTTAAAAAAGAACCATGTGTTAGCAACCACCTAATGGCTGAGTATAACCAAATTTGAGAAAAAAGAACGACGCGCCTTGTTGGGGAACCCTTCTTCCCTAGCGTTAATCCCGCGCAGTCACAGGTCCGCCACTTTGGTCAGTCGTCGCCACTTTGCTCTGTCCAGGGCATCTTCTGCCGTGGCCGTGACCTCACTTAGGTCTTCTTGATTACGTCTTTCCACCTCTTCTTTGGGGCTCCTCGCGGTCGCTTGCCTTGCACTTCGAAGTCCATCGCTGTTCTTATCGGATGATCCTGTGGCCTCCTTCAGGTGCCCATACCATCGTAGACATTGCTCTCGCATCTTTTAGGTAAGTAATCTTTCTTCGAGTGCTATGCATGATGTAAAAACATGATGTGTTATAGGACAAATTCCCAAGCTGGGAAAAACTGACTCTGCTTACGTAGCCACCCAATCCTCGAACGCTTATGCTAAAAGTGTTTCACTCGAGGGAAAAGGAATACCAATTTAGTTGCTGATTTTAGTGGTCGAAGATTTACCGGAAGAGATTGGCAGAAGATTCGAACAGATGAGAAAATGGGACAATGATGTGGAAAGTCAGTTTTCAAAGTTTTTAAGTGTTTATTCACTTTCTGAAGTCTCTTGAAACAATCGTTGAAGTACTGCAACAAAGGGTTGTTGATGATTTCAGGACTTCGACTGGAATGTAAATATGCAGCTAAACGTATTATGGAGGTTAGAGAGACTTCTCAACCAATGAGAGAAAAAATATTGATGGAGCTTGCTGATGTAAGTATATTCCTACGACCGGAGGCCTGTTCATTTTTTATAAGAAAGCGTTATCATTAATTACATTTTTTCTCCATTTTTTCGGCATATTTTGCTTTTGGAAAACTATGCACACTTTTCCCCATGTAGATATAAACGTTTAGCGAAATCTTTAACTAAGCACGGCAGAACTGTCGTGTAAGGTCATATGCTAATCTTCCGAGTGTTGCACAAATGATGTCATAACTTTTTATTGCAGAAGTATCGCCTGATCCATCGGTTAAGTGAGAGGAAATTGGATCTTGCCATCAGAAGTGAACGTTTAATGAGTGCGGTTCTTGAGAAGGTGACAGACACGAATATTTTTGCAAAACTGGCATCCTATCCGTTTTGATTGTGACTGAATTCGATGAAGTAGCAATCCGTTATATTTTAAGGTGGCTGATTCATCGTATTTGTGTAAGATAGAGCTGGAAGTTGATAACCCAGGATGCACTGAAGCAATAGAAAAAAGTAAGTATAGAAATTCCACCTGTTTTTTAGTTTTTTTTTTTTAAGTCAATCAGTGTCTGTTTGTGTTTTTATATGTCTGCTGATGTTTCTTAATATGTATGTGTAGCATCTGTTCACGCGAACTAATTTGTGCGCCTACAACAACCTTCCCATTGTCAGTGTCTTTCTGACGGTCTGGCTGTCTGTTCGTCCCGAAGTGCTCATTCTGTATGGCAGGGAAAGAAGAAGTAAACTTTGCATAAAGAACTAGTAAACACTTAACAGTTAAGACCGTGTGGTATATTTCATACCCACATTCACAATTGAGCAGACCTAGTCTCTTGAGTTACTTTAGCACGTTTTTCTGCCTTTCAAAGCGAACCAATGTACACTACTATGGGTCGAAAAAAAAATAAGAAAACGGTGAAGGATGATGCCCACTGATGAGAGAAATATGAAAAATGTTAAAGTGTTATGCGCTCAACGGCGTCGTCAACGTGTTAATCTGTTTGCGCACTGATATCTGAGATAACCCTCAGTTTGCTCATAGCTACTATTTTAGGTGATAGGTTTACATTCGGATGAGCGCGCAGAAGTTGCGCAGTAGGTGCTAGAAAAGAAGAAGTGAAGGGAAACGGGAATGAATAAGGAAGAAAGTTCGAACGAAGCACGTGGAGACGAAGGTTTTCATGGGGTCAATGATGCCTCCATTTAAACGAATATTTAGCACGTTGACGACATTCCGTGTTTTGGCTTTTTCTCGCGTGGGACAGGAGCGATTTTGCGAGCGCGCCGTCCTCACCTTCCTTACGCTTACTTTCTGTTTAAAATGCCCAAAAATTTGAATTTCACACAATTAATTTAGCAACATGAAAGCGTAGAAGTTACCTATATAAACACGGTAAAGTTCATTTAGAAGAACCCATAATGATCACGAAGAAGCAAAAAATCCTTTCGACACGAATGGAGTAAAAAGCATTTCTATCAAATGCAATTGTCTTGAAACTCACAGAGTTTTGTATTAACTTCTTCTACAATCTTTCATATGAATGTTCACGACAGTGAAAGAGAAAATTAGGAAAGAGTTGAAAACTGAAATATTTGGAGTTTAAAGGAATCTTCCACGGACCATGGACCAGTGGGCGGGACCGGAAGTTTTTGTGACGAAATGCATGGTAGGTACGGATCCACGTGTCGAACGCACGAACGTGAACAGGATTCACTTCAAACCTTCCCATGAACGTGGATCCGTACCTACCATGCATTTCGTCGCAAAACCACTTCCGGTCCCGCCCACTGGTCCATGGTCCGTGGAAGATTCCTTTAAGTAAATCGTTGGTATAATAAATCAAGGCATTATTTCACCACACTAGCGGCCATGTGGTTTATATAAAAGGATAAAAGGATAAAGCATTTGCCGTTGATCAATCCCTTTTTGGGATGCGGCACGCATTCTACTTCCATTTGTACATTCGTAGTGGCGTTTGAATGCGATGTGGCCTATACAATGACTTGCGGGGGCCAGCCGATGTACAAGTCAGTGTTTTTATCCTCCCAGACAAGTCTGGTACCAATTAACCGACCCCGGAGGGATGGAAGGCTTGGTTGGCCCGGGCGACTCACGACCCAGGATTTGATCCCCGGACCGCTCGCGTGGTAAGCGCGCCACTTGTCACTACACCACTTCCGCCCTCATTTATATTATGCTATAAATTATCTATAGAATGAATACAAAACTCGAGAAGAAGGAGCGCAAGCGAATAAAAATGAAGTGACATAGTTCTGACGCGCATGCGCGTCAGAATGTCCGATGCGGTGCCAAATTTCTGACGCGCATGCGCGTCAGACTGTCGTTAACGTGTTAATGTACACTGAAGTTCTCTCATGCTACTGTGTGACTATTGCAATATAAACATGGCTATCGCTCATATTTGCCTTTTTAGATTTCTGCCGCATGCTCGGGCTCAAACCGACTTCATCACACTTAACTTCTTGTAATGTAGAATTTGAACCAATGGAAGATGTGAAGTCAATAACGCATGGTCAGCAGCATGACGTCAATGGAGAATTGACTTCCGCATTTGATCTCAAAGATCCTGCTTTATCAAGTATAAACGGTGAGCTGTTTTATTACTTACTACTTACTCGTTTCAAATGTCTTAAGTTTTTCTGCATAAAACGGTATAATCAGTTTGTATCTATTCTACAATGAGTTCTCGAGTTGTTTTGGCTGTTGTTGTGGTTCATCGATAATTTTGTAGGCAAACCAGATAGGGAACGATTTGGAAGTCCTTCACCAAGGGTTACTCCATGTGACAGTCCTCAGCCCACTTCAACTTCTGCATCGAGGTTAAAGGTGCGTCTTTTTCTCTAAAGGAAACTAAAACACTTCAAGGTCGTGGATTAGCAGTTGAGCGCTTCCATTGTGATGGGGGCTTCCAGGCTTCTAGAGAGCATAAGCGATTTTTCAGTCTTTTATCTCAGACCCCCCTCTCCATCTTTATCCCATATTAACAATTTATAATCTGCGTTGTAGTCTTGTATCAATTTCAAAGTGCCGAAATTGATTACGCAAGAATTGTAAATCTCGCGTAATCTCTTTTGAAATTAGCCCTAACTAAGACTAAGATTACAAGAATTCTTTCAGAAGTTGGGTCTAAAGCAGTTGAAACCACGCCTAACTTCTAGTGTTCCCTTATTCTTAATTTGTGAGATGTGCTCCTTTGTGCACTTAAGTTTGTGTTAAAACTGCGTATCCTATTCTTAAAATCAATCTCTGGTGACATAGTTCGACGGTGCTATCATCAATGATTTTTGGTATCAAAGAATGCATATTTTACATGCAACCTGAAGCTTTAAACAGTAGTGGCCGAAAACAGGTTCACATTTATCCCTGTTTTATGGTAAAACAATATGAGACAAAACTGTGGTGCGACACGATTTGGAGATGCTCAAGACCTGGAGGGATTAATGTTCAAGCTTAGTTTGCACTCTTTGCACAATGTTCGCTTTCACTTTTTACATTTCCAATAATCCTGTTGAGAATCTTCATAAATGTGGTTTGAACTTCATGTTATGATCTGGCCTTGGTGCAGAGCGAAGCATTTGTTGACAACTGGAATGATTGCCTCCATTGTTAGAGCACGAACAAATTACATTTTCCACGCGGTAAAGGCTCCCTTTGATCCTAGTCTGCTATTTGGACAACGGTATAGTTAATCATGGTAAAGGAGGATATGGATAACACATGGGAAATGCTTACCTGAAGCCCTTACATTGCGTAACTTTTTGAACAGCCAGTTTCGACTAAGTAGCAATTCAATTGCTACTAGTCGAAACTGGCTACTTATTGTTGGAGTCTATTCGAAATGCAAAAAAGAAGATTGACACACCAAATTCAACTTCCGTTATTATTCCCTGAGAACCGCTTATTTGTTTACGACCACAGTTACAGCAGGCTAATCATGTTGGCCAATTATTTCGTGAAAAATGCCGTCAAAGGGATTGTTCAGATGATCGTTGTCAGAGAGATCAATTTTCAAAAAGCTGTGTAACTGTACTTGTTTTCTTGAAAATGGTCGCCATAGATGGAATCTTCCCCCGGTGAATTTTTCCATTTTTTCAGAGGTCGATTTGACCTCAGAACCACAACAAAAACCTGGAATATCATATTGCCATATGTTTACCGGCTATTAAACCTTTTCTCCTATATCCTTCTATTTTATAAAGCGCTAACTTTGTGTGTCGGTTTGTGTATCTGTATGTGTGTGTGTGTGTGTGTGTATGTGTGTCCGTCCGCAAAATGAAGTGAGTGAGAAGGAAGCTCATGGGATAAACAAACCGCTAACAAATCGGGTAGCTTACAGGATTTGAGATATCAATGTTTTGTAGCAGGATAGTTGTGATAACACTCTCAGGGCTATATAAACACCTGCTTAGCACACTTCCGTTCATTCCACATGGTGCTGCAGTGGCAGCTGGAGGGCAGTGGAGAGAGGAAGGGAGGATGAGGAAGGGAAGCGAAAAATCTACCGTCATATCATGATTGTGTCCCTTCTACTGTTTGAAACACCATTGTGTTGCATACGCGTCACTTCCAGGAGGTGTTGGTGTCACAGGAGGAAGGGACCATAGCGGAGGATAGAAAGCTTGCGCAGGAAAGGAAGGTCCCGGCGGTTGACGGGGGACTAATCTGGTACTGATAAAACATGAGCCATTGACATGATTTCTCCATGGATCTAAGTGAATGATCAACTTTTGCCATTTCCTCTTCAGAAGCTTCTCTATGGTTCTGTTCATTATAATTTTGAAAATACAAGTTATTCAACTGAGGCGTCTGTTACTCTAAGGACAAGCTTTAAGGCGTGAAAAAACCAAGCTATGTCCCTGTTCGCTTTCCTTATTGTATATCTTTTGAAAAAGTGCTATTCTGTTCAGCATATTTTTATACAAATTGATAATAAATGATACTTGCTAGGTTATTTAAATAGTGAAAGTGTCGAAATTAACCAAAACGTTCCAACCAAGGTAACTTTTTATATTATTGAATGTTGTTTGTTATTTAGATGACCATAAGGCTTAAAAACAATATCATTTCAAGACTTCATAAAAACCTTGATTATGGCTCAATATAGATCCATATTTACAGTACTCTCATTCGTTTAGAAGAGAAAGTACAACTCTGGTACTCCGCCACCAACTGTTTCGAACTATACGCGTAGGAAGCAAGAAAGAGAGAGGGAGCGAATGAAGCTGAATAAAATACATGCTGCTCGTCAGGAAGAATATCGACGCAAACAGCAGAAAATGGCAATGGCGTCGGAACCAGGTAAGTTGGGGTGGAATATTCACTCCCTTTTCTTACTTCAAAAGATTGGAGCATCTGATGCAGATACATTTTCTCGACAGTTGGACTTTAATTAGGGCTGTAATTATCTTGGATACCTATAACGGCAAACACGAGTATTTTTAGAGCAAGTTAGGACTGTTCAGAGTAAACCTACAGCTGGTGGTAAACATATTCACTCATTGCTACTTTTTAGATCTGGCTTCATTTTCCGGAGGTACAAATGACTCTGGTCTTGGTGGCGTTCTTGATGAGGACGTTGCATTGTCCGAGGACGTTAAGTGGAAAGAGCAAGGTAAATATACTCTATAATTTCTGCAACGAATCTTCTAATTTTTATCATTTTTTATAGATCCACTTGGGTCAGACGACGATTTCGATGCAAATGATGTGTTGGGCTTGTTCCCATCGCTACCGTCACCTCCTAGAGAAATAATGGAGTCCTTGAAGGTTTTCTCTCATTTTCCGTGATAGGAAAACAAGGAAATACTTGGAGAGAAAATTCATTTTATTAAGGAGGATTCTCTGTTTCCTGATGATGACTTTATGGGTTATGAAACACACGCAACGGTAAGCTCACAACTTCCTAGTCGTACTTCATTATTATAACAAAAGTGTATCTTCTAAAATGTCATGTTACGATGTTTTGCGACAGTCGCAGATGTTTTTTCTACAAATTCCATTTTTTTTATTGCTTCGCGACCGACAACAGCCAGCGCTGTCGGCTTCGCAAACGTTACGGCCAACTCCTGTACGCAACCGTGCATTGTTTTGCTCGAAGGGATTGTTGCTGAAAGATTCTTCGTTTTTTTTTCTCAAAATGACTATGTCGGACGTGGTCACTAGGGACAGCCTCAATGTTCAACGCAGGAAAGTCCAGTTTCCGAAATGAAACAAACTTACGAAAACCACATTGTATGTATGGTCGAGTTAGTGAGCGAAACAAAGGAACTATCTGGAAAGAAGTGTGCCTTTTTACGCCCGAGAGAAAACGACCAGAGACAAGATGCTGTAAGGAAGAGAAATGTTACTGCCATGGGTAAGAAAGGCCAAAAGAGTTCATGGTGAAGACAGTCCAAAAATCAAGTGGAATCGTTCCCGTCGCCAACGTTGTAAAGGTACGGCGGAAATCGAAAGCGTAATAGTCCTTCGGGTTTTCGAGATATTCACTGAGACAAATACAACTTTTTTGTTCTTTTGTTTGCGTATCGTGAATGGTGGATGCAGTAATTTGTGGGTGAGGTGGAATCATGATTTTCGTGTGGACGATTCCTTCAAAGTCAGTGATCAGGACGGTTGTACAGGGGGGGGCCAAAAAAGAGTCACTTTGCCTATGGCGCATATCATCAAACTTTTCGTCGCAAAGGATGCCGCTGTTATTGGGAGTTATACGGCGAATTATTCCTTAGATGTCCCCCCATAAGCAGAATCAGGCCCACCTTCGCTGCGTTCACCGTCTCCAGAATATGACGTCATCTGTCATCACCGTCGAGCTCAAGGAGGCCTACCATAATCGCTCCATTCTGAAGCTGCTACATAATTTCTTCAATCGGATAACTGGTGAATGGCTTCTTAGGGACACTAGCTCTGACTATGCAAAATGGCTTTTGACCAGCGTTTCAGAGACGTCGTAATCTCTATGGTTTCTCGACGACCTCGTTGAGCTCGTACCGCGAACCATGTTTCCGTGGGAAAATCTTCTGATGTCGTCGGTGTAGAAGGCCCTATGTAATTTTTTGATAGAATAGAATGTGCTCTTCAATATGCAATTGAGCTCATTCGGTTTGGTTTTGGCAAAGTGTAATTAATTCGATTGTATAAAGTCAATAACTACCTTGTGCAGTGACCTTTCCATGCAGGAACTTTTAAACGCAATAAGGTTCAGATCACGTGGAAGGGAATATTTTCAGCTACACGCCTATTTCATATGATTTCCAAGGCTTTTGGTCATGCTAACTTTGTATTCTTATACATTACACTGAACTAAACTTGATATAGAGCTTTCATTATAGACCTTCCCTCAATCGCCTGCTATGCAAGGCCTTCTGTTGGACTCTGCTGCGTCGTCGCCTTCACCTTCGACCAGCGCTTCTTCATGGGATCGAAAGAAGAGAACAAGCATCTCTTTCGGAAACGTGAACGAAACCACTAGTCTACACGGACGTCCGAGGAAGTTGGTGACATAGCCTGTTTCATAGTGAGGGATGGATCTGCCAACATCAAAAGGCCAATGTTGCCATTTTCTGAAAGATTTGTTGCAGAATGACAGAACGGGCTGTGGAACTCCTTCAAAATCATAAGGATCGGGAAAAATTCAAGAGAAGTGGAGTCAAAGCAGAGTCGGTCGATGGAGAAGGCAATGAGAGATGGTGTTTCTGTAGAGAGGTTTCTATTATTCAGTAGCTTGTTCTCATTGCGTGCATAGATGTGTTCTGTTGAGAGCGGACTCGAATCTCTAAAAAACTTGTTTTCAATTATTCATAATTCCTTGCTTAGTGCACAGCTTTTCAGGTGTCAAGCGGTAGTATGATATGCTGTGATGATCCGGACGTACGTATTTGTTTTTTTTTCTCTTCGATTATATTCATAGGATTGTGCATTTGTCTTTTCAGTGTAAATATCAATGGTTTCATTTCGAATGTGTTGGTCTAGTTGTGGAACCGAAAGGACAATGGTTCTGTTCCGAGTGTTCTATGAAAAAACGCTAAGGTTGGTTTGGTAGTATCTTGCGTCATTTGCTTCGAAAGACATCCTTGTTCATGAGTTTTTGGTATGAGAAGTTGTGCGAATTTGAAATTCTACAACCAGCCCCAGGACATAGAAATGAGCTTCTTCATTTAAGAAGCGAGTAAGCTTCGAATATTAGGCTTTGTGTTAGAAATAGCCCTACAAAACAAATAGGTGGGTTGGTTATGTAGAGATGGGATGCTAACATCTTCAATATTGGGTGTGAACATGGCCAACAGTGCTTTAGAAATTACTAAGTTCGCACTGGCGAAAGGAAGCTCCTCCAGTCTCTTGGTCGCACTGCAAATGTTTTTGCTGGGGGAGCATGAGCCTGACTTATGTTAGTCATCTAAAGCTCGCGTGAGAAATGTTAACGTTGAAATGTGGCGAAGCCGCGCTCTGACCTAACGCCTATACCGGTCCCATAGGGTACTCTGAATAGGGCGAACGAGTGAAGTTACCTGCTAATCTCGAAGAGCTGGAGAAAATTTGCGATCAGCACTGTCTATCTCTGTTCAGGTTTAATGCAAAATTTTGAAATGGGTCTTCGCCTAGGAACCCACTTATGTTCACGTCAAATCGCTTTTGTTTTCAGATATAGTTATACCGCAGAAGCAAGAATAGGATTTTTTCATGTTGTACTTTCCTGTTGCTTTCCTTTTTTGATCAGATCGATATGTTAGGTCGTTAGGTCACCCGTGTTATAGGCTTATATGTGCTTTGTTTTAATAATTTGCCGAGTGAGAATGTGCCTTCTCCCGATGTTGTGGTTTCCCACCCTCCACCTTGATGCTCACTCTAGTATTGTTCAACTCAGCTATGGTTCAGCGGGTTAGTAGGAATATTGGGTCGACAGTGTTATATTTTAGACCATATTTTGACGTTCTGAGTGTTTCTTATTAGAGAACGATCTCTGTTGGTCTCTTGTCTTCACTGATCTTTCCGTGACAAATAATGTTTGACAGTGGCTCAGTCAGTCTCGTGTGAATTGTGTTTCTGATATGCAAAGAGTTGTTCTTTCCATAGGAGTGAATTTATTTGAAATTGTTGTGTTGGGACAGGGTTAAAATGATTTAATGAAAATTTTCTTGAATTTGTTAGACTTTGAGAGGCTCCGAATTGCTAGAATTTACTTGGTTAAAAAGGGCATTGGATAAGGTTTAGGGAGTTCATGAAACAAACTGAATAGTACTGAATCCATTCGGAATTCCAGGACTGACCATGAGACTATACCGTATCCATTGAGTATAGCAGCGCACATGTTCACTACTGTTATCTGCAGTGGCGGCCCTGAGCATTCAGGCAAGTGGAACTGGCATTATAAGAGACGGAAAGTTCCGACCAGTCTATTATTAGAAGCGGACTTCACGAAGGAAAAGCTACCCAATAGAAAGTGAGGTAGGGTGGTCAAGATGCAGAGATGAAGAAAAAGCATGAGAAGGCGGCCCAGAACCGGAGAAATGGAATACCCTCTTGCCGTTGATTTCTGCATTGATGCGACTGTCATCGTTGCTGACGTCTTGAGCGCTAACGCTGTGCGGAACGCCTAGAATCAGGCGGTAAGGGGTTAGCTATTGGCGGGCGTGCAGAGGCGAGAGTGGCGCGGCTTGTCAGCGTTAGGCCGATGTCAGACTTTGCGAATCGCGCGATTCGCTAGCGTCTTCGCGGCCGCGTCGCGGCCCAGGTGAATCACTCAGAGTGGCTGCTACCGCAAACGCGAATCGCGCGAATCGCTAGTAAAAATGCAGTGAATCGGCTACCGCAACGCGACCGCGGACGCTAGCGAATCGCGCGAATCGCTAGTAGCGAATCGCGCGATTCGCAAAGTCTGACATCGGCCTTAAGCCGCTCGAGGCATCTTCATCGCTGCAGAGCGCGCATTCTCCCGCACCCGCACGGATCCCGCCTCCCTTTCGACTAGGTGTATTCAGACAGGCAGGACTGCGGTGCGCTTCATAATTATAAGGTCACCTCTAAATTTCGCATTTCTGGAACAAGCAGACGACTGGAAATTTTTCTAATATCACCAATGATTCCCTCACTATGAATAACCCCTGTATCGCAATTTTGGTGAGAGCAGCTTTTCTTTTACTTTTTTATAATTATTTTTTGGTTTTTGCACCGTTTCATAATGTAAGGTCATCCTTAGAAAAAGAATAGTCAGATGAAATTAATAGCAGACATTGGAGAGTTAATAGTCCTCCATTATTGAGTGCAAAATCAAACAGCCTCCGTTGCGTACTGGAATTGAGATTCTGAGTCAGCCAAACATCGATTCGCTTGCGTGCTTCAAGGGTGCTTGTTTCAGCTCTTTTGTAGTTCCTAACTGGTGTTTATCCGCATGATACTCCATGACGAAAATGTCTCTGAGATATTCTATCGAAATGCGACCAAAACTACAGGATAATCTTTTCAGATCGTCTGGATTTGGGGAGTGCTGCCGCTTCTGGTTGACTGAATTACATGAGTACCTGTAATGTTCTGTAAGAGTACGTAGTATAGCCGATGTTGTTGGCTCAAGAAAGAGATCAGATGTCTTTGTAAGGCTCTACGGTGAAATTTGGAGCCCATTATGCAGGTCATGGAAAAAATTGCCGGCACAGTATCATTACAGAGCGCATCATCACCTTTCACATTTCCTTCACTAGGATTGCGAGCGCTGAAACGAACCGGCTACCTTCGCGAGTCACGGCAAAAGCGTTCTTATCCACAGGAACTGTTTGTGTAAACCGCTTCATCCAAAAAAATACCCACCCACATAAAAATGGTCACTAAGAGTTTGAGCCAACTTTGTCGCATTCCTGACAATGCCGATGCTTCTTTTCACCTCTGCAGTCCACACTTTTTAAGATAGGAATTTTGATTTAGGAGCGAGTGTAATTCCATCTGGAAGTTCTGTTTGGGCAACCCTGGTAACT